TGATCTCCTTTATATATATATATATATATCCATTTTTTCACATTTTTTCATATCATAGATTGCATTGCATTACATATTATAAATTGTTAAAGAAACGAGATATTTTTCAGTATTTATAAGTTTCCCTGATTATAATATAATAAATCTATTTTGCATGAAAATATGTATGCATGCACATTATATCACTATAAAAGCCCTTACGAACAATATCTTTATATTCAAAAGATCATACTGAAATCTTATTCACAATAAGTCATAATAATTATATGACAGATTTGTTCCATATTTATTGTGACTGTTCTTTTGTACTTCATATACTAATACGAGTTTCTCTCGCATAAATGTTTAGAAATCATACCGAACAAAACTATATTGCAGCCATTCATTAAAATGGGTAACTGCAAGTAAACAAACGTATATCATTTCGCTTGTGTTGTCTCTACATGCAACTAGATGTTTGCAGAATAAATCTCTGTTCATGGTAAAACAACATTGTGCTTTCTTTCATTTCCCTCGCCTATCTTAATTACTATTCCTGCCACCCTATTGGCTTACAACTATTGGGACACTACTTTTATTATAATTCTGAAATCTGTATATCTAGATGTATATGCATTTGGATCCTTAAGAACCTTATATATTCATTTGACTTATTGAACATCAATTTCCACAACTTCATAAAGGTAAATTGTATACATCTTTTTAGAACATTTGACGTAACGTTGCAGGTGCAGCAAGGCTCTGGCAATCCTCCTACATCTAGTCTTCAGGGAGTTGGTGTTTCAGTTGGACAACAGGGCATGTTCATGACGCAAGGAGGTGTAGGCGTAGCTGGTGCAAGAGCTGGATTTCCTGTTGGAGGTGTAGGAAGTAGTGCTCTTCAGGGTCCATTAGCTTTTCTGGAGAAGACAACGAGCAATATAGGAATGCCGGAAAGGCGGAGTTGACGCGGAAGGGGGAGGGGCCGGGGTCGGGGTCGAGGAAGAGGCCGAGGAAAAGGACGTAGCGCAGGAGGAAATCTACCTCCACCACCTCCGCTCCTCGATACTTCAGACCCGTCGTCGTATGCTGCTGCTGCCGCAGTCGCAGCTGCTGCGGCAGCGCCCCTTCCCTCTCCTCAGCAGCAGCCTCCACCGTCTTGTACATGAACACAATTGCCGCAATTTATTTACAATGTTGCGAAGTACTGTCCCTACGTCTGAAATCCTTGTGACCATAGACTTTCCTCAAAAAACGATGGATTTCATTTCTGTTATGCTAAAAACCATTGACAAAGTATCTCTCTGTTAATAGCGCTTGTACATTTTATTGTCTTTTTTTAAGTCAGAATGAATAGAAATATTTCCTAATATTTACGTATTGTAAGCTTATTGATAGTTTTCAATAACTGCATTGTATCAAAAAGATAAAACATTTTTAAATAGTAATCTTTAAAGAAATGATCAGATTACGTTAATTGAAGTGAATTGACATACAACGGGAATTGTTTTTACTAACGAAAAGCGTATCAAGAAGTCCTCAGCTGTGAATCAATTTTCAGTCTAAAAGCATGAAGTTGTTGAACAGCACTTAAAAACTCAGAGATGCTAATATCAATGCTGTCTAGCATAAGAAGCATTAAAGTGCTTCCTTAACTTAATTTTAAAGTTGTGTTGCAATAATTGTGTGACAGTTATACAAAAATATGCGTGATGGAAGAAACGTGAATGTGGAGTATTACTCAGTTTCTGTTACAATTTGTTTGTTTATTTGTGACTTCTGCGATTCTTTTTATATAAGTATACTTTGCATTAGTCTATGTAACGTAATAACTCATAAGATTATGTAAAATATAATGCGCCCACGGAACGATGATATTCATTTTAAAAGGGTAAGCAACGAAAACTGTACATAACAAAATCGTGTGTGTAAGTGAAGAAGAGTAACATAAAGATTCACATGTACATAGAATTAGAGGCACGAGTTTCCATACAATAAATCTTGTATTTTATTACTTTAAGTTTAAAAAATTGTTATTACTTTTACAAAACGTGGGTAACGTTTATACAGTGGTCAAATCTGTCGGATGTATAACAAATGCGACACAAATAAAATGTAAATTGCCCAAATAACAACATTCCTCCCATGAGTGGTATGTTAAAAAATTTGTTTCTTATACAAGCGTAGCGTATTTTCTGTACCTTATTGTACAAAAGTATTCCCGTTATTACTGTATGCCTCTTTTATTTTTTCATTTTCTGTATAATGCGGTTATTAATGTTCGGTAACGCAAATTTAACTTTTTACATAATATGACATACATAATATGCACAAAGCAGATTATGGATTCATTACAGTTACACTAAATACTGCTGCACTGTAAAGTAATATAATTCTGTACACAAACGTAACGATTACAAATTTTGTATATGACGAACGTTAGATTGAATTTTTGTTTACATTATACTCATTTACAAAAATGCAGTTGTCGGAATATAATAAGGGAGGTGGGCGTATATGTATATAGAAATAGCCGTACAAGAGGCAAAAAAAAACAACTGAAGTCAGTTGAATATTTTAATAGAATGTTTGTAAGAACTGAATAAGCGTACGAGTTGGACGACCTGCCATTCCGGCTGGTATATATGGCAATTCTTCACCAATCATCATTACTCCTGCGATATCCAAATGCATCCACGGTGTATCGCATTCAACGAACTCTCTTAAGAAAGCTGCAGCCGTGCATGCGCCGCCAACTTTCGTTTTTGCAATATTATTTATATCCGCTGATTTAACTTTTTCTGTAAAATATAAAAAAATGTAAAAAATGAAAGAGAAAGAAAAACGAAACAGTTCAATTGTTTTATATTACTTGTCATATCATCTGTAAAATGTTTCCAGAGTGGCATTCTCCATACTCGATCACCAGTCACAGTACCAGCGTCCTTTAATTTCTCAAAAAGTGCACTATCATTTGTAAAGACTCCAGCTGCTGCTCCTCCCAAACTGATTGTTATTGCGCCGGTTAACGTCGCGATGTCCAAGATACATCTACAGTTACATTTATACATATATGTTCAAATATGTTTTGTAGATACGTACAAGTTTCTAAAATATCTCTAATAGTTACCTAGGCTTAAATTCATGAGCATAACAAAGCGCATCGGCAAGAATAAGTCTGCCTTCTGCATCCGTGTTATCTACAATGATACTTTTTCCATTCATTGCAAATACAACGTCTCCTGGTTTGGTGGCATGTCCGGAAGGCAAGTTTTCGGTAAGTGGAATTAAGCCAACCATGTTAACTTTTAGCTTCAGTTCAGCGGCAGCTCGAATAGAGGCTGCTACACATGATGCACCAGTCATATCTGCACGCATTTCGTCCATATCCGCTGGTTGCTACATAAAAGAAATAATTATGTACAGATCGACCTAATCAAAAAACTTTGCTAAACAATCATTTACCTTGAGGCTTATACCGCCCGCGTCAAAAGTAACACCCTTCCCAACAAACACAATCGGTTGACAATCGTCTGCAGCACCTTTGTAGTGAATTTCAACGAACTTTGGTGGCTCGCAACTGCCACGAGAAACGCTAAGGAAAGAACCCATTTTCTTCTGCTCAGCCCAGTCTTTATCATGTACTATAACGGTAATTCCTAATTTCGAAAGACACGAAGACACCTCCTGGGAAAATATTGTTGGCGTCATCAAATTGGCTGGAGTGTCTGACAGTTCACGTGCCCAGTTCTGTGCTTGGGCTTTGATATTTCCAATCCGCCACTGTTCCCTGTAACAGAATAATTGTAACAATGTATATGGATAATATATATATATATATAGAATTCGATAAATAAAATATATAATACTCACTGTTCCTCTTGACCATATAGTGAAATTTTTGGAAAGACTGACAGATTTTCTTTCTTCTTTGAACCTTGGAAAAACCATGTCGATAGAGTAGCACCTTCTGCTGCAGCTTCAGCGTCGCCTAATGTTTCTAATTTGATGTCTTTAATGTCAACAGCATCCAGAGCACGACAACCCACTATAAATTAAGTACTTGGTGTAGATTAACTGTCAATGTTGTTAAAATAATGAAAAAAAAAAGAATAATGAAAAAGAAAGAAAATTATGTATGTGTTCAAAAATAACAAGTATCTACCTGCGGCCGCTGTACGTATGCTTTCTTTTCCTTCGTGTAATTCTTCAAGTTTATTAATGCCGAGGTTCTTTTTCCCAAGACCAACTACTGCAACTCCCACATATTCCTTTTCATCCAAACCCCAAAATACTCTAACAGAGCCTTTGGGAATTTTCGGGCCTGCTCTGTAGTGGTAGAAGTATTGATGTGTTATTCAAAATGTTTATTTCTAATTGGTATATGCATTATTGAGGTAAGGGTGAGTTTGTTCTGCGATTGAAAGATACGTGAAAAAATGTACTGAGACACAGATCCACAAATTTATTCGTTACAATAATTCTAGGCATTGTTCGTAGCATATCCTGTAGTATTTGCAATTTTAAAATACAATCTAAAAATATACTATTTTTTACATACATCCTAGAATAAACTTCTTTTAAATTAATCTAATAATTTATATATAATGATTATTCTAGGTATTAAATTATTATTTGTAATTACAATTATTTTCTTCACAATTCGGGCTACATAGTAATTCACAATATTCTTTTTGTGTTTTTCTTATATAATAGAGACAATTGATTTGTACTAAGAGTACATCAAAGATAGGCGTCACAATTATTTCCAGCATAGTTATTAGTCTGTCTCTTATACACATCTAGATGTGTATAAGAGACAGACTAATAACTATGCTGGAAATAATTGTGACGCCTATCTTTGATGTACTCTTAGTACCTGTCTCTTATACACATCTAGATGTGTATAAGAGACAGACTAATAACTATGCTGGAAATAATTGTGACGCCTATCTTTGATGTACTCTTAGTACCTGTCTCTTATACACATCTAGATGTGTATAAGAGACAGACTAATAACTATGCTGGAAATAATTGTGACGCCTATCTTTGATGTACTCTTAGTACCTGTCTCTTATACACATCTAGATGTGTATAAGAGACAGACTAATAACTATGCTGGAAATAATTGTGACGCCTATCTTTGATGTACTCTTAGTACCTGTCTCTTATACACATCTAGATGTGTATAAGAGACAGACTAATAACTATGCTGGAAATAATTGTGACGCCTATCTTTGATGTACTCTTAGTACCTGTCTCTTATACACATCTAGATGTGTATAAGAGACAGACTAATAACTATGCTGGAAATAATTGTGACGCCTATCTTTGATGTACTCTTAGTACCTGTCTCTTATACACATCTAGATGTGTATAAGAGACAGACTAATAACTATGCTGGAAATAATTGTGACGCCTATCTTTGATGTACTCTTAGTACCTGTCTCTTATACACATCTAGATGTGTATAAGAGACAGACTAATAACTATGCTGGAAATAATTGTGACGCCTATCTTTGATGTACTCTTAGTACCTGTCTCTTATACACATCTAGATGTGTATAAGAGACAGACTAATAACTATGCTGGAAATAATTGTGACGCCTATCTTTGATGTACTCTTAGTACCTGTCTCTTATACACATCTAGATGTGTATAAGAGACAGACTAATAACTATGCTGGAAATAATTGTGACGCCTATCTTTGATGTACTCTTAGTACCTGTCTCTTATACACATCTAGATGTGTATAAGAGACAGGTACTAAGAGTACATCAAAGATAGGCGTCACAATTATTTCCAGCATAGTTATTAGTTAATAGAAATTTGTAATAATAAAGAATGATTTGTGAATTATAATATAGTACAATGTGAAACTATATTCGTATTATACCAAAAATTCAATCTTTCCTCTATATGTATACTCAGATTTAAGTATGTAAATCTGTCATGGGGTTTCATCATACTTGTAAGATTGCTTAAATATTACCATGTAAATACTAAAGAAATTATTAAAAATTGACACATTCAGCTTTCCAGACAATTAGTCATGAAAACCATTTACTTAACATATACTAATCAGAGCTAAATGAGAAAATGTTAAAATAGAGAATAGTACATGCATACTTTTTTTCTATTCTTTAAACATTAACAATACTTATTGTTACTTATCACTGTTTTCACCAATGAATGGGAATTGAATAATAAATTTACTAATTCTGAAACAAAAAGATATTTACAATCTACTACTTCTAATCAGAAATTCTACTTTTCTTTAACTCTGACACTAGGCATTTCAACTATCTTAAACTAACAACATACAATCGTTGAACAAAGTAATAAACTGCACCTGTCGATATTAGTACTGCCATAAATGTTGACAAACTCAAACATATTACTAGCAAAATCACTACAAGCTCAAACAAGTAACAAATTTTCAATAATTTTCATATAAATTGCCAGCCATATGATTGTGATTAGATAATAGCAAACTTGATTAAATTCTACTATGCTTTTGGTTTCATGAATACATTGCTTTTGCAAGCCGAATGCCCTAATAATCTGTGCTCCAGACACTGGTTCACTGAAATGCGAATATGTAAGAAATCTAGAAATGGATCGACACTAGTATAAATATAACGATTTTGATGCTGACAGTAGGAACTTAATATAATCAAGCAGATTCACTATCCTTAGCTGATACAACACTCTTGGCACGAATTGTATTGAATACACATTAATTCATTTATAATATCAATATGAATATATTTCTAATCTCTTGATTTGAATTCATTAGGCTACTTTGGCAAGATATTTTCTATATAAATCAAATGGTACAATTAAAATTGCATTTAAAATCAGAATTCAAAATAAGTATTTGATTTCGCATTATCAAGTGCTGTCTGTAACATTACAATCACAAAATTATCTTTCACAATGCTGAATATTTTTGGTAATAAAACTGTACAATATATTTGTAATTTACAAGACAAATGATGTGTAACTCGAATTTTTCTATATAATGAAATGCTAA